CTTAATCTTAGCATAAGGATCATCGGGTACACGGTGATTATTACCTTGATGATGGTGGACACCACCCATACCTATCGTGTTGCGGCGAAGACGTCGTCATAATCTTGCTTGTCGGAAGGCTGCTCGATCTATGTTTCTAGCGGCATCATGCACCATGTCTTCTGGCAAGAGACCATTGGTGTTGCTACCGGAGATGTCATTGTTGTTGACCACCACCAATGTTTCCAACTCAGTAACCTTGTCGGTTAGCGTGGAAATTCGTTTGTCCAACCTCTTCATGCTGTTGCCAATGTTGAGTTCAATGAGTGTGTCAATGATGGCCTTTCTGACGGCCTCATTCATCCTTTTTTGGGCATCCTCTACAACAGCTTGTAGTTACTCTTGGCTGACACACTCGTTCAAACCCTTAGGATTGTTATCTCCCGTCTGATCACCTCCTGCCATTGTAAACACAAAAAATAGGAACAAACGGTGAAAGTTATCCCTAACAAATGACTACGTGGTTGTAGTGGTGTCACTTTTCACAGCAAGTGGAAGCGTCTTACCAAGCTCTTGTAAAGTTCTTACCAATGTAAGTAGTGGGCGGTACAACTGGTGGCTGGTTCGTGATACCTGAGAGGTAGTGGTACCGAGATTGCAAGGCCCTTTTTCTATACTGATCTGAAGAGTTTATGGAGCTTGGAAGGCACACAAAGAGTAATATGTATATCTGGCACATAAGTCAGTAACAGAAAGTAATGCTGAATTATAGTCCAAAGTACTTGTTCTCGTTGCTGGTCTAAAATGTTCCAAGTACCAGGTGTGTGACAAAAGTATGGTGGATAGTAAGGTGATAGGTGTGTGAAAAACAAGTATGATGGATGGAAACAGTAACACAAATAAGGAACCAGACAGCACATGCTAACATAGCTTACTTTGGTCTTCTCTATGTGCTCCTCTAGATATTGTTTCTCTTTTGTCCCTCTCTTTTTTTCTATTTTTTGAGCTATCGTTGTTTTTTGGGAAATTTTGAATTTTTTATTTTATTTTTTTGATATTTTTCCTTTACTTAGGAGCACAAAAGAAGTAACCACAGAAAATATGAGCTCAAACAAGTGTAAGACGTGGCATGTGGAATTTTTCAGAAAACTTGCTCAAAATCGACAAAAACCTTGTGACCACGAAAAGAGGATCTTGTGACCACTTTTTGACCAATTTAAAATTTTTGAACCCCGTCTAGGCCGGGGATGGATGGATCCAAAAAAAATTGATCGATTTTGATATATGGAATGTCGAAATCGGAGTTCGTATGCAAAAACTAGACTAGTTTTAAGAATTGGCTCCGAATTAGAGGACAAAACGGGAACAATGTGCACAAAACTGGTCACAACATCAAAGATTTGATGGAAACAATGAGAAAAAACACACGAACTAGACTCTAACATGACCTAACCAGCAACAAGACCTTGACTAGGACACAAACTCAACACGATGGACTCCAAAACTGAAGTATGCAAAGGCTATGGCGCGGAAGGTTTTAGGACAGAAAAAACGAGTATGGCACTAGACTATGGGATGAATGCGTAACACTCAAACTAGGGAATAAATGTGAACCTGACGGTATACCTTAGCTCTAATTACCACTTAATGGAAACAGGGATGCCGATCTTCTGTCAGGTGGTGGTAACTATCATTGTGGCGGAGAATGACACACCGATCTGGCTTCAGATCGAAAGATAGAACCCTGCAATCTTAGCACCACAGCTCCTCTGGTTATCAACCGAGTCTCGGACCAGGTTGACCTCGCCAAGAAGGCTAATCCCTACCTGCGCAACGAAGAACACAAGCAAGAACAAGAAAGAACACAACCAAATTACAGATGAATGATTAATCTCTCAAAGTTAGGGTCTCACGAACCGATGAACAGCGAAACCGTTCTTGACAGAATAATCTAAGCAAAACCCAAAACCTAATAATGGCGACAGCGTATGATTATAAAGGTTTTAGGGTCATCGCCTACCCTGGACGCGCTCCCTAATAGGCCCAAACACGATACACGGTCCAACGGACCAAAAGACGGTGTCGCAGCACCCTGGCAGTTTCTGGACGCTGACTTGTTTCGATGATTCCTATTGATTCCAAAGAGCTTTTGATGTGAGACCACTTGGATTGGCTTCCTTATCAAATTAGCTTTCCATCCATATGTAGATCGTCAAAAACATAGTATGGATGCGTCCTGGGTGACCAGTTTAAGGCAGACTAGTCCTGGAGGCCGAGGCAGACTCGAAATCATGTTGGACCGGGCCTCCGGTTCCTGTTGGACGTCCTTGCTGGTCATCTTCGCCTCCACCACGTCCTCTAAGTCCTTCATGACCCTCTCCAATGTTCCTAAGCAAGATAACATCATTAGGTAGTAGTTTATTCTCAAAAATATAAAAAGGATCGCTTAAGAACGAGCTCACCTCTAAATTGAGTTGACGCATTCAAGCTCGGGTCATTGGACCTTGCATGACGGTTGGAGGATCCGTGGGTACATCCGAAGCAGTGATGTCCTCATCACATTGGCATGTGGAGCTTAATCTAATGGATGGAAATCTTGCCACAATTTGTTGTAGTAACCAAAGAACTATCAATGTTAATAAACATTGCTTTGGTACAATTTCTCCACGAATAATATTTTTGCTATAGTACATCCAAATAACTGTAAACCGTCGATCTGAATGGCAATTATCACATATTACCTCCGAAGAGGTAATAGAATATATAAGGAAAATATCTTCCTATTAGATCTAATATGCATGCATGATCTAACTTTCCAAACATGATCTCAAGTGTTTAATAAATAATAACATAGATAAGGACACACATGCATAGCGGTGGAACACATACTTCACACATGTGCAGCCATATTTTATTTTATTGTATATAATACAATGATTTATAGTTAGAACTAATACATAGTACGTTCTTTGTATTTATCCTATTATAATTCTTAGTTTAGAATGTTATAGGGCTATTTCATGCACTACAGGAAACTCGAATTGTTCTGTGGGTGACGAATTTTTTTCGTGCGTGTTTTTCGGTATGCACAGAAAAATTATGATTTTTCTGTTGGTTTCAAAATATCCCGACAGAAAAATACGAAAACCCACAGAATAATTGTATGATTTTTCTATGCATGAGAATACACACACGGAAAAAATTAGCACTCACAGAAAAATACAACTTATTCTGTCGGTACTTTAAAAACACAAAGAAAAAATATATGCACGCACAGAAAAAATATTATTATTCTATCGGTTATTTTAAAACATACAGAAAAATCATACACACGCATGGAAAAAAACCAAGAAGTCCTAACCCTAACCCGCCAGCCGCCGCCCCCAAACACCCTCGCACGCACCTCGCGGACTCGCCCGCTCGGCTCCTCACGCATGCACGCTCCCCTCCCTCCCGTTCTTCTCCCCTGCCACACACTCCCTCCCCACCCCAGCCCCCCCACACTCCCTCCTCCCCGCACTCCGCACCGCCCATCCTCCCGCCGGATCCCACCCCTCCCTCCCTCCCTTCTTCCTCGGCGCAGCAGTGCCGCCTCCTCCTCTCCCCGCCTCCCCTACCTTCTTCCCGAGATCCGGCGTGGCCGGAGTTCCCTGGCACGGTCCCTCTCCTCCCGCTCCCCACCGGTGAGATCTGCGGCGGCAGTGCGCCCCCCCCTCCCCCCTCCCCTACCTTCTTTCCCCGGCTGCCCCTCCCCTCCCACTTCCCTGCCCCCAGCGTTGCCCCTCCCTCCCGCTCCCCACCGGTGAGATCCGACGCGACAGTGCCGCCCCCCCTCTCCCCTCCCCTACCTTCTTCCCCGACGCGACCCTCCCTCCTGCTCCCCACCGGCCAGATCCGGCGGCCGGTGCCGCCCTCCTCCCCCCCCGGGCGAGATCCAGGAGGGGGCCCAACAGTGCACCCCCAGCGGCAAGTGGGGATGGCTGCGCTGTGGCCAAGGGCGAGCTGTAGCCCCCTGGCCGAGGAGCGGCGGCGGCGGCTTTGGTGGTGTGTCGTGGTGTCGGCGTGTCTTTTTTTATTTTTTATTAGAGCTTCTGTTAGCTGTATAATTAGCGAGTAATTTAATTCATGCTTTGCTACTTTGCTTCCGTGCTGCTTGAGAATTTCCTAATTGTTCCTAGTGTTTTAGTAGTATGATATCTGGTTGTTTTTTCTTCCTTAGTTCTGACCTGTTCATGTCTTGTCTGATCTTGTCATAGGCTTACACGGTGTCATTTTATTGCTGCATTACTAAGAGAAGATGGAATTCTCACTGCAGCCATTTGCAAACTTCAATGAGCCCCTGATTACACTTGACAAAGGTGAATTTAGTTTTTGTTCAATCAAGTTTAGAAAAAAAAAACATGTTCAAATTGTTATCCAGTACTTGGACTTTCAGTATAACATATCCTTGATGGTAAATTAACTGAACAAAATTTGCAAATGTTTGCTCACTACAAGTTAATTTGTCATCATCTGTGTGGATTGATATGCTTTGCTCTTTTTATAGACAAAATCAAACTTCATCTGCGGTGGTTGGGGTTCACAGTTTGTGGATGCATATATAGCATGTCTTTCTTTTTCCAATTGTTGCTTTGCCTATCAGAACTATTATGTCAGCATATGCCTCTATGATAATGCTTGCCTTGCTCCATTGCATTAGTAGTAGTTGTCCTATAGATGTAGCTGCAGGATCTTGTTATTCTTATGATAAAAAAATCTAGCACCTTTGGTTGGTCAGATTGGTGACGCCCGTGGAAGTTACTAGTATGCACCTAGGACAACGGGTTTGTTGATTTCCATTCTAAAATGGTAGGGAATGACTGTAATGTACTAGTGGAAACCAGTTCATAATATGGCAAGGGGAGACATGATGAGCCACCCCTTCTAGTCGCCTAGGCCTAGGCATGTGTAAGGCGAGGCAAGGTGATGCCATATGCCAGGGGATAACAAGGGGGCTCCTCTCTCTGCGCCTCTCGCTTCAGATGTGCTGCTGCTGCGGTGCTGCCCGCAACTTCTCCCTGCCTCTTCCCTTCCCTTTCCTCCCTGCTCTATGCCCTCAGAAACGCAGCGTGTCTCATTGCCTAGGCGATGTCTCAAACCGTTGTCTTGGTGGAGGTGGACCCCTCTCATCCGATCTCCTTGGAGGTCTCCCAGGATTGTTTCTTTGGCTGCTCCAGTTACCAGATTTGGCACTCCATCCATCTGCTTTCCGGTCCTTGTTACCAGAATTAGTTGTCTCTTTCCATTGAGCAGTACCTTGTGAGTTCTCAGCAGGCACAACATTCCAGCCATCCCAAGAATCTGATACACAAGTCATTTCGGAATATGTACGCTATTTCCTCCACCAACACACGTAAGTTTGTTCTTCATACACAACCTAACATTAATCACTCATTTGATAAATGAATATATTGAATGATACTTAACTTTGATAAATATGATGGTATACAATTACTTGAGATATTTGACATGCAAGGTAGCTGATGCTAAAGTTAATCTTCTGTGCAGAATCCAGCTTGGACAACCAGCTACGGTTAAAGTTGCAGCCAACTTGATTAGGTTGCTAGCTTATCAGAACAAGGTATGTTCCATAGCATTCCAGCACAGACTGTTAAAACATTCTTTTACTTTCCTCATTGATAAGCACCTGGTGTCGGAATTTGATGTTAAACTCTCATTGAACTACAAAATGAATGTTTGTTATTAATATCCAGAACATATTGCAAGCTGGCATGATTGTTGGAGGATGGGATAAGTATGAGGGAGGCCAAATTTTCTCGGTCCCTCTTGGTGGAACGATCTTGAAGCAACCATTTGCAATTGGAGGTATCATTTTGCCCATAAAGTTGTATTGTTCCCTTCTTTCGAGTCAGTATTTCAATGCTACTTCCATTATTCTCTTTGATGTGACATACCTTTTGTGCTATGGCTAGTGATCTAGTAATTAAATCACTTATTGTTTGAGTTGTACATGATCTCTGAGTGTTCATACTCTAAATCTTGTTATGAAAAAAACTTGCTTTGCTTGAGAAATATTGTTTCTGAAACTTGTTATGTTATCTCTGAATTGCAGGTTCCGGTTCCAGTTACCTATATGCCCTTCTTGATCATGAATGGAAAGAGGGAATGAGCCAGGAAGAGGCAGAGGTATGTCGCCAAGTTCCTTCTTACTTAGATCCTGGAATTGAGATACTCTCTAGTATAGTAGTATAACTGAAGGTAATTATAATTGTGTAAAGCGAATAGAGTACAACTAGCCTCAATGTTCCTAATATGTTTCTATTGTTCATATATACAGAAATTTGTGGTGAAGGTAGTTTCCCTTGCTATGGCCCGTGATGGTGCTAGTGGAGGGGTTGTCCGTACAGTTACTGTAAGTTCTCTCTATTGTTGTGCAAATTTTCATGCTCAGTTCCCTCCGGAAACTGAAATGCAGCAATCACCTGAACTAGTTGGGTGTCATGGATTGTCTTATGTTGGTTTTGGCACTTATATCTAGCATGATGCTTTTGATAGCTTTTGGAGTGAAACTCAATCAGCTGTAACTGAAAATCGTAACTTTTGATCATTTAACTTCTTGTGTGGTGCTGTACATTCTTCTGTCAATTAATAAAATGGATTGTAGTTTCAAAAAAAAATGATTGTACCAAAATGAATTAGAACAAAGGTACCAGATCAATTGGAATACGCCTTATCTCAATGTTGCTAGACTCCAAGATGTTTACTCTTCTGTTACTTGATTCATTCACTTGCTTACCACATCCACTCAGTGAATTCTATCTATTTGCTCAGTTTTCATTTTCTTGAGGTTTACCTTGTAAAAAAATTATGTTTAGTCTGCAAGAATGCAGTGACCTGCAATCTGTGTTTGTGTTTTGCGTATACTTATCTCTTACTGCCATTTTCTATGCTTGTGTTCTTTTGGCTTAAACCTTTTTTTAGTTCAAAATAAACTCAATTTGATTGCACTGCAGATAAATGCCTATGACATGAAGAGGAACTTTTATCCTGGCGACAAGCTACCCCTGTGGCACGACGAGCTGGAGCCCCATAACTCTTTGCTTGATATTCTTGCTGCTGGGAACCCTGATCCCATGGTGCAGTGAATTTGCCCTCCACTTTCTTTGTGAACTTTTCACTGGTTGAATAAGAAAAAATAGTTTGGTTTCTTTTTCGATATCCATATTTGTGAATTCATTGTAGTATTCATGTCGAACATGTAGATGACCAGATATCATATCTGTATATATTTGAATGAAACCTTGTTGGTCATGCACAGAAATTACTGTATGGAAAATATATATTTTAATATGTTGTTGCTACTGTTTTAAAATAATTTTTTTTGTGTGTATAACTCTTTTTTCCTGTGAGGCTGGCTACACAGAAATATTTTTTTAATCTGGGCGAAATGAATTTTTCTGTGAGTTTACCTAGACCGACAGAAAAAAATATGTGTTTTTCTGTGCGTTTATTTCTTTTTTCTGTGTGGATTAACACACAGAAAAATTAGTTATAATCTGGGTGAACACAATTTTTCTGTGCATGTGAGACCCACAGAAAAATTGTTTCTGACGGTGAACCCACAGAAAAATTCGATTTTTTTGTCATTATATTTCTGTGTGTATTTTTCTGATGGTACACTATCAGAAAAATATTTTTTTGACGGTATTCGTATTTTTCTGTGTGTTTTCGCACACACAGAAAAAAGCGATATTCCAGTAGTGATGGTACGCGTACAGATTTAATTTTTATAACGTGACAAACTGATATGTATCATGACATAATGAGAGGTATGGAACAGTTGCACAGATTACTATAAGTAATTTGATCTAACTTTCCTAACATGATCTCAAGTGTTTAATAAATAATAACAGAGACAAGGACACACATGCATAGCGGTGGAACACATACTTGACACATGTGCAGCCATATTTCATTTTATTGTATATAATACAATGATTTATAGTTAGAACTAATACATAGTACGTTCTTTGTATTTATTCTATTATAATTCTTAGTTTAGAATGTTATAGGGCTATTTCATGGTACGCGTACAGATTTAATTTTTATAACATGACAAACTGATATGTATCTCTACTATAATGGACCAATCAAAATTATACTAGACCCCTCCAGAAAAACGTTCCACGCTGAGAGCCTCTAACCATTGTACACCTAGGAAAATATATACAGAGATTCATTTTAATTAAAATCAAGAGCTAATAAAACACCTAAATCAAATCCGATGGCCACGATTCGACGTGGGATGCCAGGCTTCTCACGCATCCACACCCCGCACGCCGACGCCGCGCCCTCGCTCCTCCCCGCATCCCGCACGCCCCTCCCTCTCCCACAGACGCGGCTCCTCCACCCCCCACGCGCGCGCGACTCGTCACTCTCCTCTCCCACCAGGCCGCCGGCCGCCAGGCACCGCAGCAACCAAGGCCGCCCGGCGCCCCCACTCTCCTATGGAAAGCAGGACCCGGCCTCACCGAAACATCCGTTGGGCGTCCGCGACCAGCCCCGTGCTGCGCCTCTCCCAGTCCGCCTCCTCCCTCGTCGTTGCAGCCCCTCGAGCTTGGGCGGGGCATAAATCCTCCACTTCTCCCTCCATCTCTCCCTCACGCCTCCCCATACCTTCATCGCCTGCTCCGCCTCTCACTCGTGCCACACCTGCCTCCGCTCGGCGTCGTGTCCGCCCAAGGTCAGACGGCGTATCGGCACGGACGCCCGCCCTCCCTCTCCTCCCCTTGGCATGGCGCGCCTACCTGAGGCGCCGAACCATGATGGCGCGCGGTACCCCTACCATCGAGGCTGCTCGCGTCGGCCTGTGCAACCGGAACCTGGCGCGCCTCAGGATCTAGTGCCTCTTCGGCTGGATCCGTCCGTCCTCCCGCCTTTCCTTGCTCTCCCTCTTCCTTTCCCGGCTATTCCCGGCCATGATAGGAGAAGCCCGCAGGTCATCAGCCAGCAGCCCCGACGCAGCCCACAGTGCACTATGGTTTGCTTCCCTCTGCTAGATTGGTTACGTACGTATATATGTTACCTTGGAAAATCTAGAGGTTTCATTTGTTCTCTCCCCCTTGGCTGGACAATTTTGTGAGCGATTCCTCATATCTGGACTGCCAAGGTTACATCTTCACAGTAATGCAAGCCAAATTCGTGTCAAAATGAATGTCTCTCAATCGATTCCTGAAAGTTTGATTGGAAAATAGAGGTTCGCTTCCATAGTTAACTGATGTTTTGACTCTTCCAAACTGTAAATGTAGACATTCTTAGTGTTCGAAAAACTGAAGCACTTTACCTTTGCAGGAATGCCTCTATGGATTTATGCCACTGTGAGGCGGCTGAATGGCAAGGTCTTCAAGATGGGATATGGACTGCTGTAAATTCTCCATATGGCAACAAATATGTTGATGTCAAATTGGCTGATAAGAAACATGCTAGGTTCACTCTTCCCATCCAGGAAGGTCAGGATTGTTCACGAAATCAATTCCTTTTTTTCTTTTCAGTGATAAACTCCCCATTCCAGAACTGTTTTTGTTTTCATTTTGTTCTACCTCTACTGAGTCTTTGAAAAAACTTATATGTGCTAATTTTTCCTGCTGATGCACCATGTACTGATGTCGCGCTCTCAATTGACAGCAGTGCAAGTGATCAAAACAGTATCATGTAGTTGTTTAGCAGTATGGACTTAGCTCAGCACAGCACACCACTGGACAATTTGCCTATACATACTGTGGCCATATTGTTGGCGTCAGACCTGATATCATAACATGGTGATGATGGGTGGGAGTGGAAATGGGTGCAATACCCTCCTGGTTGGAGAAGGCGCTGGACAAGCACTTACCTAAGGGTCAGTGCTACTTTGGCCTCCACACCTTTGGCATTCGGTCAATAACATTTAGACAAAGATGAGATACTGTTCTCAGTGTGGGATCTCACTGTGTCCTGTATCAGGCACTTTATTTTGGTGTTCCTTTCCATGATCGATTGCTAGAGCACTATGCAACCAATAAATACACTGGAGATGTTGAGAGCATGCTAACCTGCCTGGCCAGAGACGAGAAGAAGTCCTCGCTGCCGGCCACGAACGCTTCAGCGGCATCCGCTCCTCCGCCGCTGGCGGCGGCGGCTAGGGTTAGGGTTTCGGGCAACGGGGAGCAGGCCTCTGAATCCGGCAGCGGCAGGCCCGGTCGTGGCGTGGACAAACAATCCATGGGCAGCCCCGAGCGCTGGGGCCATCGGCCGCTAGACCGGGCAGCAGAGCCGCGGGCACCGCCGCGTCGTGCGGGCTCAGCGCTGCTGGGCTGGATGGATGCACTTCGGCCAGTCGTAGGCTTGCTTGCCTGCTCTTCCTCCTCTCCGACCGCCCCTAGAAAAATCTCACCATTCGAGAAGCCTAGTGCCATGGTCAAGAAGGTCTGTGCGGAGTTGCAGCTCGAGAGACAGGGCACCACGGTCCTGACACCGGCAGGTAAGTAAAAGCCAGCCAAGTCCCAATTTCGTTTGTGCCGATACTCAATCGGGCATTGACTTCTCCACGGCACCTTGAGCATGAAGGGATGAGCTCAAGAACCTGGACTCGGTTCCTCCTGCTCAGCGAGTTCTCAGGTACGCGGAGAGGAACATCGACTTGTTTTTGCCCAAAATTCCAATCTTTGCAAATTAAATGCTTGGATCATTAGAATCTTCGACTTGGCTCTAAATATTGCTCACCCTCTCTGTTGATTCGTCTTGCATTCCCAAAGCCTGCTTGTTTTCCTGACCACCCCCAAAAGGGATTCGAGACGCCCGCGAGCTGTTCCTTAAAATGTCCACTTCTGAATATTTCCTATAGCGGATTCTTGCCTTTTGTCTCTATCAATCAAGCTTCCTGTATTAGCTGGTCCAGCTCATGTGCTCATTTATCATGTACTCATTTAAGATCTCGACTCAGACTGATTTACATTGGGTTCTCCTTGTGGTTTAGAATTTTAGTTTTTTCCTCCTTTTTCAGTAGCATCCCTATGGTGAAGATCCAGGAGCTACATCTCCTCAGAGGCGTGTAGAATGGTGTGGCCTGTGAAGATTTGTTTAATTATAGTTGACTGAATATTCTCTATCGTTGGTTAATACAATCTCTAAGTTCTAATGAACTAATCTAGCAGCAGCCGTAATACTGCTAGAAAATTGACATGTATAATGTTTTTTCTTACCTGAAACAATTATATTGCCTTTTTTCTACAATGTAATTTGGTTGTTTTAGTATGCATATATTTTAGTTTTAGTATGCATATACCTGAATGTTGTTTTGTGGATTATTCGTTAAAAGTACCATTCACACGCATCCTATACACCTATATAATTGTGAGAAACTGCAAATGTGCAAAAGCTTATCCAGAGGTCCACGTAATTGCTAAGGCAAAATAGGTGGAGCAGTGGCATATAGACTTCAGTATCTTTAGATATTCTTGCTTGAATATTTTGAATTTTTTTCTCAGGATTTTTCACCGACTGACTGAACATGTGTGTGTGCTATTGGAATTCCATTCAGCGTGTTGAGAAGTCCCCAGTGATCTGAAATGGTAGTGGCCATAAACAGAGCACCTATGGGATACAAATGGCCATCAAGTGAGAAGGCAAGAACCACTCTTCTAGATGCATGCAAGAGAAACGTGGAGTAGGACCTAGCGCGAGTTACAAATACATGGTACACAGTGATTTTATACTTTGTCATCTTCTTTTCATTACAAGTAAATAATTGTAGAAGCTAAAAACTATTTTGCTTTCAATGTTTAAAAATTTCAAATTATGTTTTCCTAGGTCCATAAACATATTTTTTATTCACCATGGGTAGTGCCTAATGTGAATATGATGTTTAAGGATTTAGCCAATGCACTTCCTTAGATGGAGACAGCATGCAAGGCTGGTAAAGCTGTAGTGACATTTGTTCTGAACCTTGTAGTGGTGTTTGTTCTGAACCACCAACATGGCCTAGCAATTGCGCGAGAAGGCTTTGGAGGACGATGTGGTCAATGATCCTCTAATTAATGAGCCCGGCTCATCATCGACACATGGTTCAGCCATGACTATGAGTTTCAGCCATGAACCGTGCAGTAACTAA